ACAGTCTGTTCATTATTTATCTATCAATCACAGTCTGTTCATTATCTATCTATCTATCAATCACAGTCTCTTCATTATCTATCTATCTATCAATCACAGTCTCTTCATTATCTATCTATCTATCTATCAATCACAGTCTGTTCATTATTTATCTATCTATCACAGTCTGTTCATTATCTATCTATCTATCAATCACATTCTGTTCACTATCTATCAATCACAGTCTGTTCACTATCTATCTATCTATCAATCACAGTCTGTTCACTATCTATCTATCTATCAATCACAGTCTGTTCATTATCTATCTATCAATCACAGTCTGTTCATTATCTATCCATCTATCTATCAATCACAGTCTGTTCATTATCTATCAATCTATCACAGTCTGTTCATTATCTATCTATCTATCAATCACAGTCTGTTCATTATCTGTCTATCTATCTATCAATCACAGTCTGTTCATTATCTATCTATCTAACTATCTATCAATCACAGTCTGTTCATTATCTATCTATCAATCACAGTCTGTTCATTATTTATCAATCTATCACAGTCTGTTCATTATCTATCTATCAATCACAGTCTGTTCACTATCTATCTATCACTCACAGTCTGTTCACTATCTATCTATCAATCACAGTCTGTTCACTATCTATCTATCAATCACAGTCTGTTCATTATCTATCTATCAATCACAGTCTGTTCATTATCTATCTATCTATCTATCTATCAATCACAGTCTGTTCATTATCTATCTATCTATCTATCTATCACTCACAGTCTGTTCACTATCTATCTATCAATCACAGTCTGTTCACTATCTATCTATCAATCACAGTCTGTTCATTATCTATCTATCAATCACAGTCTGTTCATTATCTATCTATCTATCTATCTATCAATCACAGTCTGTTCATTATCTATCTATCTATCAATCACAGTCTGTTCGTTATCTATCTATCTATCAATCACAGTCTTTGCATTATCTTTCTCAGTCTGTTCATTATATATGTATGTATCTGTCTATCTATCACAGTCTGTTCATTATCTATCTATCAATCACAGTCTGTTCACTATCTATCTATCTATCAATCACAGTCTGTTCATTATCTATCTATCTATCAATCACAGTCTCTTCATTATCTATCTATCTATCTATCAATCACAGTCTGTTCATTATCTATCTATCTATCAATCACATTCTGTTCACTATCTATCAATCACAGTCTGTTCACTATCTATCTATCTATCAATCACAGTCTGTTCACTATCTATCTATCTATCAATCACAGTCTGTTCATTATCTATCTATCAATCACAGTCTGTTCATTATCTATCCATCTATCTATCAATCACAGTCTATTCATTATCTATCAATCTATCACAGTCTGTTCATTATCTATCTATCTATCAATCACAGTCTGTTCATTATCTGTCTATCTATCTATCAATCACAGTCTGTTCATTATCTATCTATCAATCACAGTCTGTTCATTATTTATCAATCTATCACAGTCTGTTCATTATCTATCTATCTATCTATCAATCACAGTCTGTTCACTATCTATCTATCACTCACAGTCTGTTCACTATCTATCTATCAATCACAGTCTGTTCACTATCTATCTATCAATCACAGTCTGTTCATTATCTATCTATCAATCACAGTCTGTTCATTATCTATCTATCTATCTATCTATCAATCACAGTCTGTTCATTATCTATCTATCTATCAATCACAGTCTGTCTTATTTATCTATCTATCTATCAATCACAGTCTGTTCACATTATCTATCTATCTAAATCACAGTTATTATGTATTATCTATCTATCAATCACAGTCTGTTCATTATCTATCTATCTATCTATCTATCAATCACAGTCTGTTCATTCATTATCTATCTATCTATCAATCACAGTCTGTTCATTATCTATCTATCTATCAATCACAGTCTTTGTTTATTTTTTTCTCATCTGTTCATTATATAGTCTGTATCTGTTATCTATCAAGTCTGTTCATTATCTATCTATTCACATCTATTTCACTATCTATCTATCTATCAATCACAGTCTCATTATTTATCTATCTATCAATCAAGTCTCTTCATTATCTATTCATCTATCTATCAATCACAGTCTGTTCATTATTTATCTATCTATCAATCACAGTCTGTTCATTATCTATCAATCTATCACAGTCTGTTCATTATTTATCTATCTATCAATCACAGTCTGTTCACTATCTATCAATCACAGTCTGTTCATTATCTATCTATCTATCTATCTATCAATCACAGTCTGTTCATTATCTATCTATCTATCAATCACAGTCTGTTCATTATCTATCTATCTATCAATCACAGTCTGTTCATTATCTATCTATCTATCAATCACAGTCTCTTCATTATCTATCTATCTATCAATCACAGTCTCTTCATTATCTATCTATCTATCAATCACAGTCTCTTCATTATCTATCTATCTATCTATCTATCAATCACAGTCTGTTCATTATTTATCTATCTATCACAGTCTGTTCATTATCTATCTATCTATCAATCACAGTCTGTTCACTATCTATCAATCACAGTCTGTTCACCATCTATCTATCTATCAATCACAGTCTGTTCACTATCTATCTATCTATCAATCACAGTCTGTTCATTATCTATCTATCTATCTATCAACCACTGTCTGTTCATTATCTATCTATCTATCAATCACAGTCTGTTCATTATCTATCTATCTATCTATCAATCACAGTCTGTTCATTATCTATCTATCAATCACAGTCTGTTCATTATCTATCCATCTATCTATCAATCACAGTCTGTTCATTATCTATCAATCTATCACAGTCTGTTCATTATCTATCTATCTATCAATCACAGTCTGTCCATTATCTGTCTATCTATCTATCAATCACAGTCTGTTCATTATCTATCTATCTAACTATCTATCAATCACAGTCTGTTCATTATCTATCTATCAATCACAGTCTGTTCATTATTTATCAATCTATCACAGTCTGTTCATTATCTATCTATCTATCTATCTATCTATCAATCACAGTCTGTTCACTATCTATCTATCACAGTCTGTTCACTATCTATCTATCAATCACAGTCTGTTCATTATCTATCTATCTATCTATCTATCAATCACAGTCTGTTCATTATCTATCTATCTATCTATCTATCAATCACAGTCTGTTCATTATCTATCTATCTATCTATCAATCACAGTCTGTTCATTATCTATCTATCTATCTATCTATCAATCACAGTCTGTTCATTATCTATCTATCTATCTATCTATCTATCAATCACAGTCTGTTCATTATCTATCTATCTATCTATCTATCAATCACAGTCTGTTCATTATCTATCTATCTATCAATCACAGTCTGTTCGTTATCTATCTATCTATCAATCACAGTCTTTGCATTATCTTTCTCAGTCTGTTCATTATATATGTATGTATCTGTCTATCTATCACAGTCTGTTCATTATCTATCTATCTATCACAGTCTGTTCATTATCTATCTATCTATCAATCACAGTCTGTTCACTATCTATCTATCTATCAATCACAGTCTGTTCATTATCTATCTATCTATCTATCTATCTATCAATCACAGTCTGTTCATTATCTATCTATCTATCTATTTATCTATCAATCACAGTCTGTTCATTATCTATTTATCTATGTATCAATCACAGTCTGTTCACTATCTCTCACTCACAGTCTGTTCACTATCTATCAATCACAGTCTGTTCACTATCTATCAATCACAGTCTGTTCATTATCTATCTATCTATCTATCAATCACAGTCTCTTCATTATCTATCTATCTATCTATCAATCACAGTCTGTTCATTATCTATCTATCTATCAATCACAGTCTGTTCATTATCTATCTATCAATCACAGTCTGTTCATTATCTATCTATCTATCTATCTATCTATCAATCAATCACAGTCTGTTCATTATCTATCTATCTATCTATCTATCTATCAATCAATCACAGTCTGTTCATTATCTATCTATCTATCAATCACAGTCTGTTCATTATCTATCTATCTATCAATCACAGTCTGTTCATTATCTATCTATCAATCACAGTCTGTTCATTATCTATCTATCTATCTATCTATCTATCAATCACAGTCTTTTCATTATCTATCTATCTATCTATCTATCTATCAATCACAGTCTTTTCATTATCTATCTATCTATCTATCAATCACAGTCTGTTCATTATCTATCTATCTATCTATCAATCACAGTCTGTTCATTATCTATCTATCTATCAATCACAGTCTGTTCATTATCTATCTATCTATCACAGTCTGTTCATTATCTATCTATCTATCTATCACAGTCTGTTCATTATCTATCTATCTATCTATCTATCACAGTCTGTTCATTATCTATCTATTTATCTATCTATCTATCAATCACAGTCTGTTCATTATCTATCTATCTATCTATCAATCACAGTCTGTTCATTATCTATCTATCTATCTATCAATCAGAGTATGTTCATTATCTATCTATCTATCTATCAATCACAGTCTGTTCGTTATCTATGTATCTATCAATCACAGTCTTTGCATTATCTTTCTCAGTCTGTTCATTATATATGTATGTATCTGTCTATCTATCACAGTCTGTTCATTATCTATCTATCTATCAATCACAGTCTGTTCACTATCTATCTATCTATCAATCACAGTCTGTTCATTATCTATCTATCTATCTATCTATCAATCACAGTCTGTTCATTATCTATCTATCTATCAATCACAGTCTGTTCATTATCTATCTATCTATCTTTCTCAGTCTGTTCATTATCTATCTATCTATCAATCACAGTCTGTTCATTATCTATCTATCTATCTTTCTCAGTCTGTTCATTATCTATCTATCTATCTCAGTCTGTTCATTATCTATCTATCTATCTATCAGTCTGTACTTTTTCTTTCTGCAGTGTTAGAAACTTTGAATGTGAATGGAAAGAATAAGTCACATTCAAATCAATGCTTCCACCAACAAGTAAAAGTTGACATAGCCGGACCAAAATAAGAACATTATTTATTGTGGCAGATTGGATTCTAGGAGTGTCAATTTACTTACAAGTAAGTCAATTTCCTTTGCAGGAACAATTGCAAGTAGAAACCTAAGATCATATTTTTCTATTTACTGTAAATCTACCATTCAGTCATGCATTGAATATTGCTGCTCTATCTGGTCTGGTGCTCCAGTTGTATATCTCGAGATTCTTGACAAAATTCAATGAAGGATCTGTAATGTAATGAATCCTGACCTGGCATCATGTCTACAGTCACTTTCTTACCAATGTGACATGGCTTGGAAAACTTGATCCTGACGGGGGCATATCAAGGGTAAGAGAGATTGCGGAAGGCAGCAGGTCACCTACCTGACAAACTTGTGCTTGTGAGGGAGACTTGGAAATGAGAGAAATGTTGCACAAAGCAAGAAGGGATAGAAAGATGTGGAGAGCCGTGATCGCCCACGTCCTGAAGGAACACGGCACATAGAAGAACAACTTGTGTAAATGATTGCTAAGGAAAGTGATGAGAAAGGGAAAAACTTTGTTAAAAACAAAGTAGGGAGTGCTGGATTGCTATGCGATATCCATCCTGTTATATAGCATTGTGATGTTGGTCATTTTCCTCACAGATGAAAAGAAAACTGAAGGCAACAGAAATGTGGTTCTACAGAAGGATACTGAGAATATACATGGATGGAGTGTATAAGGAACAAGGAAGTTTTGAGGAAAATCGCAATGAAAAGGAGACTTATACAGCATGTGATAGCAAAATTGTCCAAATTGTGTAACAGCATGCGATAATTGTCCATCCCACAAAATGTTTAATATCTAAAAATACACTAAACTGAGTTACTTTTTTCCAGGTTTTTGGATAAGATGTTCAGCCATCTTGACACAATTTGTTGTAAGAATCTCTGAAAAACCCTTTGAGTTATTCAGCTAAAAAGAGAACAGGTTAAAATCATTTTGTGTCAGTCCTACTGTCTTCCCAACTGAGCAATGGTGAGAAGAAAAAGATCATTGAGGCTTTCAGTAATGGTGCCAACATTCGTACTCTGGCTTCCATCTTCAAAGTCCATTCAAGAACCATCAAGAGAATGGTGAATAAGTTTAAAAAAAAAGAGGGAACAGTAGAAAGAAAAATGGATCAGGAGGTCCCAACAGCAAAAGGGATCATTATTTCAACTTAAAGCTAAATACATTCTTATTGTTCAAAGTAGAGTCCAATAGTGATATAAAAACCTCAGAGAATTCCAGTAAGATATCTTTAATCATTTCTAAGATACAGTGGTTCCAAGCTTAATCTAACAATTGGACAATTTTGCTGTTACATGATTTGGACAATTTTCCTGTTAGAATAAGAGAAAGCTGAAATTTCTTGGACACACAATGAGGAGGGAAGACTTGAAAAACATGAAATATTGAGTGCAAGAGAGATAAGGGAAGACAATTGGCTCCCTGACTGATGAGCATGTATGAAGTGATGGCAGAATGGGGGATGGGAGGCTTGACAAAGAGATAAATGCTCCTAAGGGCCATGTGGAATAGGAAGTTGTCAAGAGACATAATCACACACATCCTGAAGGAACATGGGATAGAGAAGAAGAAACTATTATTAAAATGATTATATTGGACATAAAGTGGGGGACCTGATTACTCCTGATTTTAAATAATAAATTGAGTCCTTAGTTTTACTACATAATTTTCTTTTTTAATGTCAGGTCAGGCTTAGGCCTGCTACTTGAAACTGGGAAAATGAACTATATAAATATTTAGGGAAAAATGAACTATATAAATATTTAGGGAAAAATGAACTATATAAATATTTAGGGAAAAATGAACTATATAAATATTTAGGAAAAATGAACTATATAAATATTTAGGGAAAAATGAACTATATAAATATTTAGGGAAAAATGAACTATATAAATATTTATTTTCTGGTCAGGCTTAGGCTTAGGCTTGCTCCTGGTAAGATGTTAACCAATACAACCTGTGTCATTGATGAGTGGTTGGCATTTAAATCAACTCCCCCCACTAGATATTCTGGTTGGTGAGGAGGGTGGTCATTTCAGTCCGCAAGACAAAAAAGAAAACCTATCAAAGGGAGGATGAGCTTCTTATAGGAGCCATCAGTCTAGTGGCCAAGTGATTAAAACATTCACTTTCTAACCATGAGACCCAGGTTTGAATCTCACCATGGTTGATTTGTCAGGAAGGAGACTTCTTGATGTTATTGATCTGGAGGGGGGGGATGACCCCAGCATGCGGCACCTTTGGAAAGTGCCTAGAAACTATACCATGAGTTGACCCAAGCCTTGTGGGTGAAATTGGGTAGATGGAACATTTGGGGCTGTCGATAGCTGCACAAGCACAAAGTCACAAGTTATCGTGACGGAGGGTTTGAGTGTGCTGGTGTTTTTCAGATTGTTGATCATTCTAGATAACACACTCTCTCCCAGAAACTGTAACTATGGTCTGCTCAGTAGCAGTATAAGCCACAGGTGGGATCTGTGGGTGTTGAACAAACACATATGTGCCAGAGCGAGTGTCTGAATGAGAAATTGGCTAGCCGCCCTAGTAGACGGGTATTCTCGAATACAAGTTGCCATCTATTATATATATATATATATATATATATATATATGTGTGTGTGTATTTTGGCAGCATCTTTTCATTGAGACATGTTTCATTGAATAATTTAGACAAGTTTTGTCTACTTATTTTCAATTGGATCCTTTCATATTCACGGATAAGCTTTTTGGTGTCATTATTGAAGGATGAGAGAAAATCACCATGTTGACAGATATTTCTTTTATTCTGAGTACTTTTGACATAGCACAATATCATCATCAGGGTATTGTTTATTGCAAGACAAATATCGTAGTGTTCATTATTGTCAAAGACAAAATTATTGTGTTCATCTGAAAGTTAAATTTCTTACTTGTGGAGTGAAGAAAGCTAAGTCAGTGCATGATCACTGACACTGTTTAAAGGGAGGTAACTAAGTATGGCCGTGGAGAGTTTTTATGAAGTAGTAAAAAAATAAGAAGATATCAATGTAATTCAGAAAAATTCTTGTTGAAAATACTTCTATACTTTTTAACGAAAAGAATAAACAAACAAAAAATTCTCGAAGCTATCTATATTGAAAAATTGAAACCAAACCATAATGAAATTAATTATGAATACTCCAAAAATGTTTTAAAATGTGTACAATAGATAGTTTGAAATGCCAAGGTTTGCACTAATAGTTTCTCTTTTTAATGCTTACTAGTAAAAAACTAATTGTTAATATTTTTGGTTTCATACTATCTTTGATACCACTATATATATCTCCAAGTATAGGATTGGTGTATACAGAATAAATTCCAATAACCAACAAATACATTTCAACACCATCACTTGATAAGACACCAAAAGTGTTGAAACAAAATGGCTATTTTTGTAGTGATTTTATAACATATTTATGTTATAATTTTTTAATAAATAATTATATATATGGGGTCTCAAACCTTTAATGCTAACCTACCTAGATATAGAGTCTTGATAAAAAAAAAACTCATTGTACTTAGTCTGAGCTGGGCATCTGGAAGAGCATCTGGACTTGTAAAGCCTTGTCTCAAATCATTATAACAAGAAATTTTCTGTCAGGCAGGACCCACCTTGTTTTTGTGCAAGATTAATCCCAGACCTACCTCAATGAAAAAACATGGCTATGTAGTTATAATAGCATGGCTTTCAATCTGAAAATTGTTCAGACAATTATATTTTGTTGAGTGTCCAAACAATGTTAGTTATGTTAATGAATCTTTTCAAGGCCAAAGATAATGTATCTACAATCTAAAAGTTATCATGCAACCAGAATTGTATCACATTACCTGTGAAGATATGGCTTTGTTCCCTTCAGGGGTCGTTAAAACACTTACCTGCAAAGAAAAAACAAAAATATGAATACATTATGCAAAGAAATGTTTAACAAAATATATATAGCAATAACAAAGACTGCATTTCTCCCATACCACCACAAAAAAGGAAGTCAAGTATTTTTGGAAGATAATGTTTTTAATTAGTAATTAATTAAGTGAATAGTAGTTTATATGATGATTGTCACTTCCTTACAGAAGAAGGCCATCTTTTCACTTGGTAGGTTTCTTTTCGTGTTTTTTATTCAGAATTTTATTATTATTTCTAATTAGTCAAGCCTTCATGTTTTGCTGTGTCTCTATCGCCATGGGTCTTCTGAAGAGATATCTGCATATATGAGAAGAGATATCAGTCACTTTCCTACCACCATATTGTCTCGCTATATCTTTTCTATAAATACTTTCATGGTAATTGTTTGAATAAACTCTTCGCTATGGTAGCTAGAGCTTTTGAATGTAAGTGCAGTGCCTACTCAAATATAAGTATTTACTAAAAATGTTTAAAATGATAACAAGAAAATATATATATATATATAAGTTATGAAAAACTTGGTAATCCGTATGGGTCGTCCCAAGGAGGATGAAATCCTGAGAGCTCAATGTAAATCCAGAGCTAATATTTTAAAGAAAAACAGACCACTTTAAGTTTCCATTATAATAATTTATTTCACCAGAGCCCTTTTAAAGGATGCTGGATCATCAGATAGCACTTCCAAAAGATGAAACGAAAAATGAAATGAAAATTGATGGGTAGTGTAAGTTTTTGTAATTTAACAGAGTTTAATAAGGAGTGGTTAGAGAGGGTTTAATTTAATATTTCTCTCAATCATACTTAGTATTGGGGGAGGAGGAGTGACCAGACCATGACCTATTTAAACGGTTAACTTAATGGAAGTGATATATTGAAATGCGAGGGGAAAGAGAGAAAAGAAAAAGGAAAAAGAAAGAAGGGGGAAGTAAAGAGGCTGTAAATGGATCTGGCATCTCGGCTTCAGT